CCTGTATGCCACGACCACCCCGACCCCCGAAGCGCGCACCGCAGCCATCACATCCGCAACAAAACACCTCCTGCAAGCCAGCGCAGTCCACTCCCTCCTCGCCACATCCCCGGCCTTCGCCCACGTCTCGCACTCCGTGTCCGCCACCCCGGGCAAAGTGCCCGACCTCGACCCCGCCGCGCAGGCCGCACTGGCGTCCCTCGCCCTCGCCGAAGCAACCCTCCTCGCCGTGCTCAAGGACGACTCCTACGTTTCGGCCTGCATCCAGGCCCGCAACCCCAATGACAAGGAGTGGATGGTCCGCGCGCCGGAGATCCCCAAGGTGCGCGCGCATCTGTTTGCCAGACTGTGTATTCGTGCGGCCGAGTACGCGGAGCAGGCGGCTGCGGGGCTGGGGGCTGTGGGTGCACAGGGACGTGCCGGTGTCGAGGAGGATTTGGTCAAGTATGCGCGTGTGCTGGGGAGGGTTGCGCGCGCGCGGGCGTGTCGGTTTTCGGGGTTGATGCGGAGCTGGCGGGGAAGATTGGGGAGGGGATTGCGTGGCTGCGGGCTGCGAAGACGGCGCTGGGGGTCCGGGGGGAGAAACAGGAGAATGAAGTGAAGAGTAGAGGGTTTTCGAGGCTGAAGCAGGGGTGGATGGAACGGAGGGAGGAGCGGAAGATGGAGAAGGATGCGGGCAGGATGGAGAAGGGCGAGTTGGGGCCGGGGGATAATGCGGGGCGGGAGGAGGAAGGGAGGGTTATTGAGATGTTGGAGACGAAGTGGGTGAGGATGAATGATACGGTGGGTTTAGTTCTTGTGTCTTTGCTTGAGATACAATGTTAAGGGTTCTTTGCTAACGGGGAAGTATTTAGATCAATACGCAGCTGATTCCGCCGTCCGCGGATCTCGTGGCGAACTTGCCGTCTGGTCGAGATATCCATTCTGCTCCCGGGGCTTATCGGCTCCAGGCGTTGGACGAGGAGGAATTGGTGCGGATGCGTGCACCGCCCATGGAGGACGAGTTTGGACCTGGCAGTGACGTAGATGATAGTGAGGAGGAATCTGGTCTGGCAAGAGATACGCCGAGCACGGTTCCTGAACGGACTGATAGTGCTTATTACTGATACCCTGCGACTGTTCTATGGGCAGAGAACATGATGTATAGGTGTGTACATGAGTACATAGTCGAGCTTGTATAGTCAAATCAACCGCTCTATCATCCGTCTCATAAACCCATAATAACCCAACATGACCTCCACCTTCAACCTCCCTCACCCCAGAAAACCCCAACAACAAATCAATGTGACATCAAAAAAAAAAAAAAAGAAGAAGAAAAGGGTGAAAAATGATACAATTGATCTAAAAAAAACAACAACCCTAACAAAGAAAAGAAAAAAGAATCCCATCCAATACACGATTCAATTCAATTGAATTCCATTCCATTCAAACCATATGCATTTCCATCGAACCGAATCCAGCTAAGCAGTCTTCTCGAAATAGTTCTTCTCCTGGAACAGATAACCCTTAATCTTGCGCTCCTTCAGCAGCTCAAAGTACTTCTCTGTAGGGCTTTATTAGCATAGATTCAAATGCAGTTTCCGAACCAACAACTGCCAATTCAATTCTCCCCAGCAAGTTTTCCTGAGCCAATTCCCCAATCTCAATTCCAGAATTAAACACCCAATTCAAATCCATACACCCAGAGCACAACCTCCAGTCACACCTACAAAGCATGCAAGAAAGAAAGAAAGAAGGAAGGAAGGAAAACCAACCTCTCAAAGCCCCACACTTCTCCAGATGGTTGACACCCTCGCGCGCATAGCACTTTCCCAATTCTTCACCGACGAGACGAGACATCATGCTGCGGACCCATTGCTCACGGATAATGGCGTCACGGGCGTTGTGGACGGCGACGTTGTCTTCGAAGTCGACGCCCTCGTACGTCGGGGCAACGGTGGGCTTCTTGGCGAGGAAGGCGGCGGACTCGGGGGTAGGCATTTTGGCGGATCTTTTTTGTTTTTTGCGGGATTTGGAGGATTCTTCGGGGGTGGGAGGTTTGG